TATATATGACTAGTGCTACATCAAAAATCAGTCTTATTAACTGGCATAGATTTGATTCTAACTTCTTAAGCAAAACATTTGAAAGAAGAAAGAGAAACCGAAAAGAGTGAAATTATAATTCGCTTACTGACAGCGGACCATTTTTTGATTTTTTCGAGAAAATGTCTTCTTTTTGGCTTTAAGCTTAGTTCTTATTTGACGGCAGGAATATTTTTAGCAACCATTTACATTGTCGCTGTCTTTAGGTTTCTTCTGTAAGACAGATTTGTCTAACTAACACCAAAATTTCTGCATTTCTTCTCATCTTCAGCTTGTCTTAAGTTGTACAAGCCGTATTGAAGAGGCATTTTGTGCTTTATTTTGGCTAAAATTCTTTGGTTTCGTATTTCCTTTCAAAAAAATTTTGAAAAAAGGCTTTTTTGTGGCATTATAATGATGCATAAAACCGTTTATTAGCTTTTTTTTTACAGTTTGATTCGGCTTCAGAAGTCATCGAAAAAAAAGACAATGTTTTTCATTTTTTTGCTTCTTTTTTTTTGCCATTTTTTAATGATCATATATGCTTTATCAGCAGACTACAGTGATATATGTACATATATTTTTAATGCGATTTTTTTGATGCTTTAACAGCTCAGAACAGAACAATGACTTCTGCCGTATTCATATTAAAAAGAAGTTACTTTGTATTCCAATGAGACATTTGGGATTTTTCGGTGCAAATTAGCACTTTGGACAATCTGATAATATTTCTGCGAATATTGGTGGAGTTTTCTGATCCAACAATATGTTTTCAGCTGTCAGCACTTTAGCGATCAAAAAAAACAACAATGGAAACAAGAACGGCATCTGTTGCGTAGTAAAACAGCTTCACACTTAGTAAAATTATCATCTTGAAATTATTCTTCTGGCTAAAAAAACGGAAAGAAAAGCAGAAGAAAAAACTTATTTTTAACAACAATTAACAAATGTGATACTGAAAAGTTACATAGAACATTTGGGGTTATACTGCTTTCAAAATGCACAAATCGGACTTGCATGAAGAACCAAAAATATAAAGCGTTTTATGAAAAAAAAGTAAAAACGAGACATCTTTTTAGAAACTGTGACAGTTCCAAAAAATATTTATAGTATACCGCGAAGGAGGAAAGCTCGTAAAAGGAGAAAATTCTTTATTTTGTTTTTGAAGCAAAATTATTCATTCAAGAAAGTTTACTTGTCAAATAAATGTTTTTTTTTTT